ACATATATATATATACTATATATATATATACTACACATATATATATATATATATATATATATATATATATATACACACACACACACACACACACATATATATATATATATATATAAATATAAGCTGATGCTTACCTTATCAAGTACCACCTTTTGTCGTCTATACTGTGTTCATTTCTTTCCCGTCCTTGTTACCGCGTCAACAGATGGGCAGCCCTGGCCGTCGTGTGTACTGCAATAATTGCAACCCCTCTTATAGGTCGCCCGGCAAAAGCCGAGGCTATTATCACCAGTGCTGCGGTAGGTGATACGGCAGAATCGCAACAGATAGGGTATGTGAGTTGTTTGCAAAGTATCATGGAATAGTTATAGTTGTTTTCCGTGTTAATATACGTTATGGTATTCTTTTTATACCTGACCTTACTGGTGTTAATATGCACTATGGCGTACAATTTTTTTGTTACGGTATGTACAGTGGTTTATAAGCCGTGGATACATAATGCTTTTTATACCTAGCTTTATTGGTGTTAATATACATTATGGTATACTTTTTGCACCCAACTTTACGGTATGCACATGGTTTATAAGCCATGTATGTATATTGATTTTTATACTCAACTTTATTGGTGTTAAGGTACATTTTGTTATACTTTTTACACCCAACTTTACGGTATGCACAGTGGTTTATAAGCCTTGTATGTATATTGCTACGCGTATGCTTCCATTATATAGATATACTATTCCTGCATTCAACTGGCTTGTTTGTTCCCAATCTCTACCAAAGCAACGAGAAAACAGCAAAGAATAAGACGATGCGCAATTACGAGGCACGGTTACGGCGCTTCAGCCCCATAGATAAGGTATTCCCTTGTGTTTAAAGGTTTAGGGTTTAGGTTTGTGGCATATGTTCATTGATAAGGTATTTGCTCGTGTTTGCTTATTCAAATGGTCGCCATCGTTGTGTTGTCACATACATGGAAGGTGGCCATATGTTTGTATACGTTTCTAAGTGATTGTGGCATAGGTTCATAGACTAGGTATTTACTTGTGTAAACATGGAAGGTACCATATGTGTGTGTACTTTGTCAAGTGATTGTGGTATAATTTCATAGACAAAGTGTTTGCTTGTTTGGGTTTGCGTATTCAATGGTCGCTATAGTCGAGTTTTCATATACTTGAAACGTGGCCATATATGCGTATACGTTTCTAAGTGATTGTGGCATATGTCCATGGGGTTGAGTAACGTTATGTTTATACGCATACAAGAATATAGTTCGGTTACAATCGTTCGAGTTGCCTGTGGTATGGAGACGATACCACGTCAGTCGTTCCAAGTTTTAGGGATAATAGTATTTATCTCAATTTGGGTGAAATATTATATGTCTACCTGCACGTGAGGCTTCATAGTCATAGTAGATAGTTTTGTGTGTAACAATCCTACCCACCTGCACATCCTCCACTAGAGATACTGCGCTCTTTCTTCAGAGTCTGGCAGGCTGTCCGTGTTTGCTCAGTGGGTGTTCGTGGTTGTTCAGTGGGTGTTTGTGGTTGTTC